TTTTTTAAATTGAAATATACTTGTTATATAATATTGTATAGTTTCAGGTGTACAGCAAAGTGATTCAACATATACATATATGTATATCTATTTTTAAAATTCTTTTTAATTGTAGTTTATTACAAGATAGGGAACATAGCTCCCTGTGCTATACAGTAGATGCTTGTTGTTTATCTATTTTATATATGGTAGTGTGTATCTTTTAATCCATATTCCCAATTTATCCCTATGCCCCCCCCTTCCCCTTTTGGTAACCATAAGTGTGATTTCTATGTTTGTTAGTCTTTGTGAATAAGTTCACTTGTACAATTTTTTAGATTCCACATATGTCTCTGATTTATTTCACTTAGTATGATAATCTTGGCATTTGTATTCTTTTTTTAAGACTGAGTAATATTCCATTGTATATATACATCACAACTTCTTTATCCACTCATCTGTCGATGGACACTTAGGTTGTTTCCATGTCTTGGCTACTGTAAATAGTTCCTCTATGAACGTTGGAGTACATGTATCTTTTCAAATGAAAGCTTTTGTCTTTTCTGGATATACGTCCAGGAGTGGGATTGCTGGATTATATAACAACTCTATATTTTAGTTTTATAAGGAAATTCCATACTGTTCTCTATAGTGACTGTAACAGTTTAGATTCCCACCAGCAGTGTAGGAGGGTTCCTTTTCCTCCACACCTTCTCCAGCATTTATTACTTGTAGACTTTTTAATAATGACCATTCTGACTGGTGTGAGGTGATACCTCATTGTAGTTTTGATTTGCATTTCTTTAATAATTAGCTATGTTGAGCATCTTTACACGTGCCTCTTGGCCATCTGTATGTCTTCTTTTGAGAAATGTCTGTTAGGTCTTCTGCCCATTCTTTAATTGGGTTGTTTGTTTTTTCATTGTTAAGTTGTATGAGCTGTTTGTATATTCTGGAAATTAAGCCCTTTTCGGTAACATCATTTGCAAGTATTTTCTCTCGTTCTGAGGGTTGTCTTTTTGTTTTGTTTAAGGTTTCCTTTGCTGTGCAAAGGCTCATGTTTGATTAGGTCCCATTTATTTATTTTTGCTTTTATTTCTATTTCTTAGGAGACAGAGAATGTTGTTTTGAACCTGCATTTTAAATGTCTTCAAAAATGTCTAAAATTTAATCCATACTCCCTATTATCATTGAAAAAAATACAAGGAAGTTTGAAGAAAAATTTAATAAATCATTTTTCATTTTCACTCCATCTCTTCTCTGAATAGCCTTTACACTTGTATATGTTTCTCTGAACTGACACCAGGATATAAACAATTGTATACACTTACACAAATTACTGTTTCTGTAAATGTTCACTTTATAAAAATAGATTTTTAACATAAATTTTCACCTCTTACTTTTTTTTTCATTATAAGGAATCTTAGGTTAAGATGTATAGATGTTACAAATCATTAACAGTATGTTAAAACTTAGTGTTGTTTGAATATATGTATAAATTACTCACCAACATATATATATATATATGTTTGTGAGTAAACATATATATATATATAAACATATAACTATATATATATATGTATATATATATACATAGATACATACATACATAGACACACACACTATATACATATGCACAAACACACACACATATTGATCTAAGTAGGTGACCATTAAGGAATATTACAGTCAAGGGTTGCCAAAATTTACTGCCTTAACATCTTTAAATGTATCCTTAACAAAATATTTATTTATTTAAGGTAGATTTTATTTAAGGTAGATTCCTATTTAAGGTAGATTCCTAGGGAATGGGTTACTGGATAAAGCATTTTAAGCATTCTTTTATTATTTATTTCCCATTTTTGAAGCTTTTTACAGTTTCTAGAGTTATGTATTAAAGTACCTCCCCAGTCTCATAGGTTAGAGTAATTTAACATTTTCATTCTGATAGATGAATATATGTGTGTACCATGTACATCTCTGTTTTCTAGTGAGGTTGAGCATGTTTCTTTTGTGTGCGGTTCATTTGGCTGTTCTCTTCTGGAAATTTTACAAATATTTTTGTCATCTTTATAATCATTTGCTTTTGTTGTTGTTTTTATTTCTTAAGTCAAATTATTGGTGTTTATTAGACAATTTAGGTAAATAAAAATTTTTATCATTGCTTTATTTTTATATCATTGTATTTATTTTCCTTTTTCCATTTAAAAAGTTCTAATTCCTATATTAAATTTGTAATCTGAACTAAGAAAAGTTGCATAAATCTTTTTTTTTTCCTAGTTCCAGAGCATAGACATTTTAATTCTATCTTCCTGCTCCTTTCTTTGGAGTTTCTGTTGTAAAACTATTTTAAATTTCTCTCATTTTTTTTTTTTTTTTTTTTTTTTTTCCTTGCGTTATGTGGGCCTCTCACTGTTGTGGCCTCTCCCATTTGCGGAGCACAGGCTCCGGACGCGCAGGCTCAGTGGTCATGGCTCACGGGCCCAGCCGCTCCGCGGCATGTGGGATCTTCCCGAAACGGGGCACGAACCCGCGTCTCCTGCATCGGCAGGCGGACTCTCAAGCACTGCGCCACCAGGGAAGCCCTAAATTTCTCTCATTTTAAAGGCATTCAAAATTAGTCATTTAAAATTTATTATATATCAGTAAATGTTATTTACATTTACCAATTTTTACCAACTTCTTTGCATCCTTTTTCTTTGGATTCAATGCTTTTCCAGCTAAAATTCATCTTTTAGTAATTTATTTCACATGCTGCCTAAAATTATCATCTTGTTGTTTGTTTTACTCTCACTCTATATTATTGTTATTTTAAGTAAATACACAATTCTAGTTCTTCGAAAGTTCTTTTTTCTAGCATTTTGAAGGTGACCATATTATAGAACAGAATGGAAATGTTATAAATTTTAATTTTAAAATTAATTCAACTAAAATAAGTGGGTATGTAAAGAGCAAGGAAGTTGAATACTTTCCTAACATTGCTGGGTTGTCTGATGATATTGGTTAATGAATGAAGAAATAAAATCTTAAGAAGGTTATTCAAAATCATGGAGGACTTATGCTTTCATAATAATTTATTAGATTACTCAGATTAAGTCTTATACTTAAAAAAATTAGAAAATCTGGAAAAATATGTAGAAAACATCTGCTTGAAATTATTGATAACTGATACGATGATGAAGGGGGATTTGGAGGAGAAAGGTTAAGGAAGTATAACAAATTTTGATCAGTGATATAAAATACAAATATGTATCTAAATTTTGTGTCTTCCTTCATTTTCAGGACTCAACTCTTCTGTCAGTTCTGGGAGTTTGCAGCCATTGTCACTTATGTATCACCTCACTCTCATATTTTTTAGCTTTCTTCTGGAAATCCTAGTAGATATAGGCTGAATGGTCTTCATTTATCTTCTATATCTTTTAAAATCTCCCACTTATTTCCATTCTTTCTATATTTTTCATAGTTTATTCTGGATGTTTTTCTCATATTTTGTCCATGTCCTGAATTCTTTCTTTAGTTTTAATTTACTAATTAATACATTCATTGTGTTTTTCTTTCAATAACTTTAATTTTTACTTATAGAAATTTAATTTTGTTCTTTCACAAAATGCCTCTTTTTGCTTCCATAATGTCGTGCTCTGGTTTTATGGTCTTAATATATTAAACGTGTACTGAGTCTTTTAAGTTCTTCATTTTTTTTTTCTGGTTCTTTTTTTGTTGACTTTCCTCATAAGTGTTTGTCCACTTATGTGACTTGCAATTTTCTATAGTGATTTTGTTATTATCAGGGATTGCATTCCGTGGGAGTTCCTTGTCTTCTGAATTCATACATAGAGCTTAAAGTTGAACCTTCCTGGATCCTAGGGTTTTTTTAGTTGTGTACCAGGTTTTACATTAGCTTTGGGTCCTGTACTATGTGTGAATGTATACTCTGCACCCACACAAGTTGCAGACCTAAGATCCTGATTTTATGACAATTCTACCCAGTTCCACAGCTACATTATTGAGTAGAGTTTTTGTTGTTTCCATTTAATATATGGGATAATCCTTCAAAGTTCTAAGCTTTAAGCAAAAGTGTTCAACTCCAACTCCTCACCTGTATAGTCCTGACTTTCCTATTCCAATATGGTTGACAACCCCAGAACTCAATCACTTAGGCCTTCCTCCTAGTTTGATATCACTGTGGACCACTTTGGTTTCAGCAGTAGTTGTTTCAAGTCCTCCTTTATTTCCAAACTTGAAGATTCAATCTCAGCTATTCATTCAACTAAAAAGAAAAATATTCAGCCTTTCTATGGATATGAAGTGGAAGATGGAAGTTTTCCCATATCATCATTAGATAGCCATATTGACCTGATGTTTTCTCTGAGAAGGTTCCCTTGTTTTTCTAGATGTCCTTCAATTTTCCCAGGCAAACATGAATACAAATCCTCTTTGTAACTGTACACATTCTCACTACAGCCTAATAACTTACAATATGTATTCTAGTGGTAACATTTTTGCCATGCTTAATATTTATTCTTAGCATAATAAATTAGGAGACCATACATGAATACATATATATGTCAGTGATTTATACCTGCCTAACACTGTATTCATTTCCATTATTACTTACCAACATATGAGTATAATAAAATAAACTGAAGACCATGGATATAAGTACACTATTTTCCTCATTCTTACAACAAATATTTATTGAATGGCTACTATGTACCAAGCACAATTTCAGGCACTTAAAATGAATCAGTGAATAAAACAGAAGATCTATTCTTATAACTTATTTGTTTCATGCTAATGAAAAAAAATTAAAACAAAACTTTCTTGCTTTGGGAAAGTGACATTGGACAAAAGAAGTACGACATCCATGCAAGTATGTTTAGATACCCTTCTTTCAAAGAACAGGAGCGTGATCTACCATTTACCCTTTTGCTGGCTCTCCTAGATTGATCCTTTCACTATCATTGGTATTTTTATGTTGACGAATGATAATGAATTTTAAGTAGCTTTTGGTGTTTTTACAGCTTGGACAATGGAGTACCTTTGGAACCCTGGAAGTTACAGCTCAGACTGAATCAGAAACAAAGGCGTTCTCAGTGGTGGCAGAATAAGATTGTGAAATTCTTATAATCCCTGCAAAGAATTATGCAAAGTTAAAATCGGTATGACCGTATCTAATCTATGTATTAACACAATATGGGTATAAATTAACACTAAGTTTTGCCTCTCTAGGCAGAAGATGTCCATATCTCTTTTATATTTTAATTTGTCTTGAACTGGAGACCATAAAAATATGATATATTTGATGAATATCACTTAAGCCTCTGATAAGTAGTTGAAGTGGAAAGGTCTCTATGGATATAATTTGTTATATGTTTGAGTGCATTTGGTTTTCCATGAATTTAACATTCATCCGTTCATTCACTCATTCACTTATTCATTCATTCAGCGGCTGTATGTTTTGGGTGTCAACAGCATGTCATGTATGAGGGATACCAGAATGATCAGAGATCTCTAAACCTCTACAGTCTACCTTAGGAAGAACAAATACGTGAGCATTATCTGAACACTATTTCATATGTATAACATACATCGAGACCGAGAGTTGCATGAGTAGGTGATCACAACTTAATTCTGAGTCCCTAATTCTGCTGCACTAGCATAACTTATTTTCTTCAATTTTAACAATTTATTCTCTTTTAATCAAATCCCCAAATTCCCCTCTCTTCTATTTCTTCTCCCCTGGATGGAAGAGGAAGTTTGTATAAATGATGGATTGGGAACCCACCATGGTCATGCTCTGTCAGCTCCTCTTTATAGGGTTTAACAATGGTGCAGGTGCTGCAGAGCACTGGCCTCAGCCACAGTGAGGTGCTCATGCTGGAGGGAGATGAGGAGACATCCATCTTCTTGATTTAGGTCTTTAATAGTTGGGATTTCTTTAGATAAAGTGGTCTCAGTGTTGTTGATACAGAAGACTTTCCTAGGATTCAACTTCCTTCCAAATCTCTGGTTTCAGAGTGGCTGGCTTAAAAAAAAGTTTCATATGTTTGTTTTTATTTTCAAAATGTCAGTATCATTTATTTGGTATTATCAAATACGACTTTTGAATGTAGTCTTGACTATGATAGGGTTTTCTTTTTTTTAATGCTACAACATTTATAGGAGGCTAAAAATATTTTGAAAGGTGGGAAAATATCTTAGTAGCAGATCTGAAGATTAAAATTTCAGTATGGTTATGTGGTCATGCTCCTATAAAATTCAAATACATTTTATACTAAGTTATATCCATATAACCTTTATTTTTCTTTTACTGCCATTAATCTATCTTCTATATTTTTACCTCTTTTTAAAAAAATATGTAATATAAATTTTGATAATGACTTTTTTTCAGGAAAAAACAAAACTGAAAAATAAAAATAAGGTGAAATTAATCCATAAGTGTCCATATTATATGAAGTGGCCTACTTTATCCATATATGAGCTAGTTACACTCAATTAATGGAAAAAATTTCCTCCGGGTCATGGTGAGTTTCAAGTAATTTTGGATTATTTCCTTTATATTACATTACATTATTGGAATTTGTAACTTTTCATAGATTTAATATTTTATATAATATTTCTTCACATGTGTTTCTCTAATATATCAAATGTTACCTTTCAATTGGACATTTAGATTGTTGCTTTTTAAATTAAAAATCATTCTGTATTGACTTGAAGAGTGATCTCAGAAGTAGACTTACTTACACATCCTCCTATTTCTCCCCACAGTCCCTACCCTTCTTGCCCCACCCTAGGAATCAATGTAAAGACCAAATTATAAAGGATAAAGGCTGTGAGAAGTTACAGTCATTTTTTTTTTTCTTTTTTCCTGGTAGAGCACCTACTTTAGCTGCATGTTTGCTTATCTGTACACATTATCAGGGAAAAATATCATAGAGAATAGATAAGACTGAGATAAGGAGTAGCAGCAGTGAAGCTGCCTACATTTCCAATATTCAGCGTGGCAATGACGCTTGCATTTCCTGGGTTATGTATACACAAAATGTGTAGGTGGTGTTGAGTCATTTTGTACAATATCTCCATTTATGAGAAGCATACTAAATAACAGATGCCAACTGCTATGTACTGATGTTTGTGTCCCACAAAATTCATATGTTGCAGCTTTATTCACTAAGGTTATGTTATTTGGATGTGGGACATTTGGCAGGCAATTAAGTCATGAGAGTGGAGCACTCGTGAATGATATCAGTGCCCTTAAAAGAACAGATGAGAGAGAAAGAGTTGATCTCACTTTCTTGGCTATATGAAGATACTGCAAGAAAGCAGCTATCTGCAAACCAGAAAGAGGGCTCTCAGCAGACATTGAATCTATTCGCACCTTGATTTTGGACTTCCCAGGCTTCAAAATTGTGAGGAATGTTCGTTGCTTAAGCCAACCCAGCTGATGCTATTTGTTATAGTAGCCAAAACTAAGACACCAACATAAGAGGAGCTACAGTAGGTGTGTCAGAATCTTCAGTCAGGAATCACTATAGTGCCCTACTTCAAACCTGCAGATCCATAATTGCAGTGGGAGATGTGGTGCCAGGAGGAGGAGGACATTTCTGAATTAAGTTTGAAATTAAAGTTCTAAAAAGAATGAGTCTAAGTTATAAATTCCAAAATGTGACTATTCTAACAATAAAAATATGGTGAAGAAATTACAGAATCTGGCTAAGCTATCCTTTGAGGGAGCCTCTAAATAATAGAAAAGTGAGGTTAATATAGCACCATACAGAAGATTCATTTATTGGAAAAAATGAATACCTATGCTTCAAAAGCTGAGAATCCCTAATAAACCTGTTCAGTTTAGTGAGACTATGCACCTTTCCTGAATTTGTTCCAAATTTCTTTCCTGTGCTTGTTTTTATATTTTATTTATCATTTTTTGAAATACAGTGTTTAGCCCATATTTAGCCAAATATATATTTTCTTCTTGCTTATAAAAATTGAATGTCATGTTGTAGTTTTATTCATGAAACATTTTTCCTTACGCTGTATTCATTTTTGGCCAAAAGTACACTTAGAAGACAAGAAGTAAACTGATGTGTAAAAAACTGGGAATTAGCATTTCTAGATTCAGTATATTTATTGTATAGAATTTTTTTTTTAATTGGGTTTTTGGATTTACCATGGGTCTCCCTTCTGTATTAGAAATATTAACTCTTGGTCCTCAGTTCCAGGGCTATTTTATTTAAAAAAATCTTAAACTTGCCAATTTATCAGGACATTAATATTTTTGAGATGCTTTTAGAGGAAGAAAGACACCATAATCAAAGATTTTTTTCAACTACGTGAACCAAAAGAATATGGGATTTGGAAAAGGGGAATAATTATGTGTTTTAATGTATTTGATTACTAATGATGAATAATATGTGTTTAAGTCTGAAATATCAATCTAAAATATTTAAATTTAGCATCAAAAAGTTAAGAAGATGTGGACACATAGTTTCTTAGACATGCTGGGTTCAAGTTCTTATTTGGTAAACGCTTTTAAAGTAATGGTGGAAACTATCACATTGAACAATCTGTGATTATATCGTATAGGTCAAAAGTAACATAATTCTTCCACTTATTCCCTGTTGTTAAAATATTTGGTCCTTACACTTACACCGTTTAGAAAAACATTTATCCTCCTTAGGGAAGAATGGCAGTTTCACTAGATGATTCTCAAGGCTTCTTTCAGCTCTGAAATACTATGGTTCTTATAAATAAACATTCCTAGGTGAAGAATAAGTTCTTTCAACCCAAACAAATTTTCTTTTATGGTGGTGACAAACTTGATATATCAAAGAGAAACATTAGATATAATACTTCTCCACTTTACTCATGATTTGTTTTTAATTTTTATCAGAAAATGTAGAGAATAGCTCAAATTATACTTTCAATATCTATTGATAGGCTTAAAATTAGCAGTAGTATGATTTCCAAAGCATAATTACTTGTGTTTTGATCTTATTTTAGAAAAATATATTGGATGAAGTTTCAAAGACATCTAGGAAATTATTCAAAATATTGATAGAATTTAGGATTAATGCCTGGAAATCTATGAAATAAATAAAACTTATTTCTGGCACTATTCCTCTGTTAACTTCTTAAATCTTCTTACTTTTGCTTCATATGCAAGGGGAGATTGAGTTTAATGGATGTGTACAATGTTGCTTGTTATTTGGGTCTGTCTGGTTTGTATCACACCAGCTAAAGTCTTCCCAGGTGATATTTTTTCCAGGTGTGACTGGATAGAAAATGGAAACCAGCTGATCTCACTAATCAACCTGTTTCTATGTGTATCATATGTATAAGAAAAATGGTAAATTAACTTGACATTCATGAACCATTTGTATACATTTTATTGTTATCCTGCTTATGTCAGTATGCTCTATCTTTTCCAGGTTGGATATAATATAGCAAACATAATAACTAGAGATACTAAAAATGTAGTAAAAATTTAGTTTTAAAAGATAAAATATGCAAATATAGCAATTATAAAAAATTTTCTAGTCTTCAAAAGCCAAAAATGGAGAATTTCAGTCACAGTATTTATACCAAATGGAAATTTGAAGCTCTAGGCTCTAAATCCCAGCTTTTTGACATCAGTCCTTCTAGATCAATTAACTCTGCAGGGTATCTAAACTTTTAGCCCTAAGGACACTCTTGAGCATCCCAGAAACAGGTTTGTCTAGGGGTGCATTTGATAGTGATACATTTTTCTTCCTCCTTTCTTCTTATGCATAAGTGAATATTTTGTAATATAGCATATTAATTCATTTGATTATTTTTAATAGGCTTTATTATTTAGAGAAGTTTTCAGTTCACAGCAAAACTGAGAAGGTACAGAGATTTTCCATATACCCCCTGCCCCCAGTCTTGCACCCTATCCCCTGTTATTAGCATACTCCATTAGTGTGGTTCATTTGTTACAATTAATGAACCTACATGGAAACATCATCAACCAAAGCCCATAGCTTACATTAAGGCTCACTTTTGGTATTAGACATTCTGTGGGTTGGACAAATGTATAACGATATTTATCCACCATTATAGTATTGTACAGAATAGTTACTGCCTTAACAATTCTCTGTGCTCCACATTTTCTTCTCTCCCTCCTCCCTAAACCCCTGGCAAACACTGATCTTTTTACTGCTTTCTTTTGATTTTACCATCTCCAGATTGTCACAGAATTGGAATCATACAATATATATGTAGCCTTTTCAGATTGGTTTCTTTCACTTTAATATTTTTCTTCCAAATCTTTTCATTGTTTGATAGCTTATTTCTTCTTAACACTGGATAATATACCATGGTCTGGATGTACCACAGTGTATTTAACTATTCACCTACTGAAAGGCATCTTAGTTGCATTTAGGTTTTAGCATTATGAATGAAGCTGCTAAAAACATTTGCATGCAGGTTTTGTGTGGACATAAGTTTTCAACTCCTTTGGATAAGTATCAGGGAATGAAATTGCTGGATAGTATGATAGAAGTATGTTTAGTTTTGTGAGAAGCGGCCAAACTGTCTCTCGAAGTGGCTGTACCAGGACTTCCACGGTGGTTCAGTGGTTAAGAATCCATCTGCCAATGCAGGGGACATGAGTTCAATCCCTGGTTTGGGAAGATCCCACATGCTGCGGACCAACCAAGCCTGTGCCCAACAACTACTGAGCCTGTTCTCTAGAGCCTGCGAGCCACAGCTAGTGAAGCCTGCGTGCTTAGATCCGTACTCCACAACAAGAGAAGCCACTGCAATGAGAAGACTGCATGCCACAATGAAGACCCAACACAGCCAAAAGTAAATAAATAAAAATTTTAAAATAATCTACTTCAAAGTGGCTGTACCATTTTGTACTTTCACCAGCAATGGGAATTTCAGTTGCTCCATATTTTTGCTAATATTTGGTGTTGTCAGTGTTTTAGGTTTTGGCCACTCACATAGATTTGCAATGGTATTTTGTTGTTTTAATTTTAATTTCCCTGACGGCATGTGACTGGAGCACCTTTTCATGTGCTTATGATATATATATCTTCTTTGAGGAAGTGTCTGTTAAAGTCCTTGGCCCATTTTTTACCAGATATTTTTTTTCTTATTGTTGCATTTTAAGAGTTCTTTGTATATTTTGTATAACAGTGTTCTTCAGATGTATCTTTTTTTTTTTTTTTTTTTTTTTTTTTTTTTTTTTTTGCGGTACGCGGGCCTCTCACTGTTGTGGCCTCTCCCGTTGCGGAGCACAGGCTCCGGACGTGCAGGCTCAGCGGCCATGGCTCACGGGCCCAGCCGCTCTGCGGCATGTGGGATCCTCCCAGACCGGGGCATGAACCCACGTCCCCTGCATCGGCAGGCGGACTCTCAACCACTGCGCCACCAGGGAAGCCCTTCAGATGTATCTTTTGCAAATACTTTCTCCCAATGTATCCCATGTCTTCTCATACTCTTAATATGTATTTTGAAGAGCAGAAGTCTTTAATTTTAATGAAGACTTCACTAA